TTTTTTTCCAAGAGAAGACAATAAGCACTTCCCCTAGGAAAAACTGCTATATTGGATATAGCAGCCATGTGGGAGACTGAGATACAATTCAGGTAATGTTGCATACCTTTCATTGTCATTTCAAAGATTTGAATCTTTTGTATCGTTTGTATCTCAAAGTAGAACATTCACAATTTAAATCTCTATACACAAAAATTCCAAATGTCCTCATTATCGGATGTCTTTTTTCAGATGTTCATCACCTTCTCCTCCCTGAGATTATCATTTATTTTTCACACAGTTCAATGAGCAGTGGAATTTCCTAATAAAATGTAAAAGTCTGACTTTTTGTGTGTTTTATTAGAGGAAAAGAGCCTGAAAGAAATTTGCATGTGCATTGCCCTTGGATAAGTGGATAAAAAAAATCACAGGATAAAAGTGAAGCTACATTGATTCATACAGTACTTGTCCATCATGTGAAGCATTGGTTATCTTCAAGTTTTGTCTCCTGTGGCTTTATAGAAGTATAAAATCTCATATTTACAAGATCATCAGAGTGACAGATTTATTCCAGAGGAACATTTGCTCAAGAATCCCATATCCAGAAGGACATTGCTATCATTACTGAATGGTATTGGAACTGACATTCTAGTTCTTGATGGAAGATCCACATACCGGGCCACTGTGTAGGGAGAAATGTTGATGGAGACTGGCCAGATCCCAACTAGTGCTGTTTGTTCTAATTCTAATGACTTAAACAGCGCTTTTCAATCCAAAGACCCCCAAAGCGCTTTAAACTATAGGAGGGCTGTACCCACAGCAGCCATTCTGCACCAGCAGTACAGTTAGACAGCCCATCAGGAGGAGTACCATGGGACCTTGAATGACTAAGAGGTTTAGGACCTCAGTTTAATGTCTCGCCCAAAGGACTGAACCTTCTGTAGTACAATGTTCCTGTTCGCCGTACTGGGGTGACGGGGTGGGGAAGAGCGACTCTTACTGGTCAACCTGCTTCACTTGAAGCGGCAACACGGTTTTCCTGAAAGTGTTTTACCATCTCCACGGATGGACTGGAGAAAGAGCTTCCACTCTCCGAGCCCCGGGCAGTGGCACCAAGCAGGCAGTATGAGAAAGTCCCACGACGGTCATGTCTGTAGCTATTCTTTAATTGAGATCATGGGTCGTACACTTTTCGTGAGGCATAAACATCTTTTGCCGTGTTTCTCTGTCTCCCAGCAGACGTTGAACTCGTGCTTTTGTGAGTCATGTCGTATTTGTGCTCTGCCTGATTTAGAACTTGTGTCAGTGTTTACTCTGCTATTGTCCCCAATGTGACATGATCTCATAACCTGAACTGACACAGCAGCTGTCCTGGACTCTTTCTCCTTCTTCTTCGGTGTCTCTGTAGAGACTTTACTCCAGCTGGTAATCATAAAATGTTTTTATCAGTTTCTGTCATTCTGTTACCAGTGCTTGTGTACATTATGTATGTCAGTATATGCATTTTGTATATACATATATGAGTGTATCTTCTAGTTACATTTCATTTTCTATATAGGAAGCAAAGATTTCTGCCCATTGTAGAATATCTTCTCATAGACCCGATAGGGAATGCGGAAGTGACTGATTTAAGATCAGCTTTGACATTGTTGTAAATGAGGTGTGCAGCATGTACAAAAAATCTTTCCAGTTCATCTCTGTTGCGAACACGTGTAAAAATTGTACAGGTGGGGGAAGGTTTGTTTTCTGTGACTGGTGTTCACCAAAGTCACCACTAGAGGGGGTCAGACACGCTGACATATCACTATGTGACGCACAACATCGCATAGGTGTAAAAACAGGTCTTTAAATATGTGTCCTGTTCTGCATATTCTTTAATTTTTAGGAGTTACACTAAATTTAGATAAATATGCTGTTATGCACTTTAAACAAAATGATTCACAACATTCTGGAAATATTTTAAAAACAAAAAATGTTTTTTTCTTTTCCTGTCATTAGGCCAATACTGTACATCTGCTCTGGAAAGTAAAGCCATGTAGCCCTTCCTAAAAAATATGCTTTCTAAATTAAAAATTAGAAACTTAAATGTTCTAGTTTTTAACAAATACTGTGCACGAATATAAATAAGTTCAGTACTTGTAGCACATTGATCCCACATCTGTACACCATTCCTGGTCTGCACCCGTGACCCCTTTCAGGTGTGAAGTGATACGAATTCTTTGACCTTTACTAAAGAAGCTTTCTGTAGATCAAAATGCCCTTAGTAAATACATAGCGATTTCAATTCTGCCTTTTGTACCAAAGTCATGTTCTTGTTGTGTCTGAATTCTGTGGATTCTTGGTCCTGAATATCCTCAAAGTCTATGTCTCAAAGTAATATTTCTATATTACCTCTGAGCTCTGTCACACGTGCCTTTGTTTCTTTTCTTTATTACAAAGTTAGAAAAGCTAATTGCATGTTTTTCGCTTCTGAGCTCACAGCTATGACCCCAGGATGCCACAAGCCTGCGTGGGAGGCCACAGTGGTGTCTGTGCCTCATTTGTACCTTCGTTTTTAGGTATGATTATTATTGATTACCAATACTGTATTAAATCTTAGCTTTTTGATTAAATACTAGATTAGTTCAGATATTGGATTTTGTGGATTTTTGGTTGACTTAATACAGTACTATTTGCGTTACGGGCCCTCAAAAAGAATATTATAGTACAGTATTTTCAATATTAATCAAAATGTTTATGTAGTATACTGTGTTTACCATAGTGTGTACTATGTATAATATTTGTATCTAAGGTGAATATGGCTCAAGAGTTTTTTTCAATGTCATCTTGGTCAAATCTCACTGCATAGCGAATCTGAAAGTCTTACATTAGTTTTAATTTTATTGTGAATGGGAGATATAAAGGAGATTCCATAGAAGGACTCATTATTATTAATAATAATAATTGCTTACACTTATATAGCGCTTTTCTGGACACTCCACTCAAAGTGCTTTACAGGTAATGGGGACTCCCCTCCACCGCCAATGTGCAGCCCCACCTGGATGATGCGACGGCAGCCATAGTGCACCAGTACACTCTCCACACACCAGCTCTCAGTGGGGAGAACAGAGAAATGAACCCAGTTCATAGTTGGGGATTATGGTCATGATTGAAATGGGAAATTTGGCCAGGATGACGGAGTAACACCCCTACTCTTTTCGAGAAACGCCCTGGGATTTTTAATGACCACAGGAAGTCAGGAACTCAGTTTTATGTCTCATCCGAAGGACAACGCCTTTTTACAGTATAGTGTCCCCGTCACTATACTGGGGCATTAGGACCCACACAGACCGCAGGGTGAGCGCCCCCTACTGGCCCCACTAACACCTCTTCCAGCAGCAACCTTGGTTTTTCCCAGTTCGTCTACCATCCAGGTACTGGTTAGCTTCAGAGGGTTACCAGAGTTATTAGTAGTTATTAGTCCAAGGTGGGAAGAGACATATACACTTACACTTACAATAGAAGATTTGGACACTGGAGCCTGGTATGGCAAACAGGCAAAGTTCAAAGAATTGTAATAAATGTTTGTGGATGTTTCCATTTTTTGTTTGCAATTGGGATGACCTCAATTGTCTTTCTTCTGCATTTTCTGCACACTTGTCTCACATTTTAGCTATGCATCTCAGTGCATAATGCTTACTGCTAGATAATAATATCACCATTTTCTAAATCTTTCTAATGGACACACAGTGCTGTCTTTATACCTAAATCATGGCATTATCATGTTGTAAAATTGCTGACAAGTAGTAACACGCCATGAAAGCTGAAAAAGAAATCTAGCCATAAAACATTAGTGAGCATTTAGAGTAGTACTGTGGTCAGCTGGGAATGATCCTGCCGTGATTCCAGCTCCTGTATAAGACTGTACAGTACATCGTACTCGAGTCGCTGTGGGACGTGAGGGCACTGACTTGTATTCAGCAGTGCTAAAAGCCCCAGGCTACAGAAAGTAACAAGACAACAAATTAAAAATTATACAAACCACAGACTTTCAATCCACAAAAGGCAAAAAAAGAATAAAAAAAGACATAAAATGTCTTTGATTATTTTTTTTTTCCAAATGAATTTCATGCTGTCAAGACAGTGCTGTTACAGGCCTTCTTTTCCATAATCAATTATTAATATCGCAATAAATGTTTCATGGTAGTAATTTAAAACATTCACCAAGCCCTCTGCAGCAGTAGATAATTAAGACCTACAGCCTTGACCTTGTTCTGTAATGTTAAATTATTTGTACTAAATCGGTTTCTAAACTCTGAATTATGGCAGACAGTATGAAAATACAAGGTTAAAATAAATGGCCTTTATCAATGTTGGGACAGATTTAGAAAATGCTACCTAAATAAAAGAACAGCACATACAGTATTGGTCCTGGCTACAGACAGTTTGAAGATTATGTGGTAAACTACATAGAGTAAAGTGCATTTATCATCACCTGTTATTTTTCTTACATAATTATGGAACTTCAACAAATTAACAATTAACAGACGTGGTCTTTTTTATTGATCTTTGCTGTTTTCATGTCGGAAGAGTCTTGCTACAGGTAAAAAGAACATTTTAACCCTGTCCTTCCTCTGAATCCTCCTTATTACTGTGCATCAGTGCGCTCAGTTGTGACAATTACAGTAGGTACTGTATGCTTTCAAAACATGATAGAATTTACTAAAACCTCTGTGTCCAGCCGATGTTTTGTGTCAAAAGCGATCGAAGAGACAATCGTTTTTTTTTTTGTTCTACTGCAAAGGACTAGTGTGTTTCCCCCCGTCGCTTCAAAACTCCGCTGAAAGCTGAAAGCCAGACTGCTGATGCCACTGATCTCTGGAGAGAGAATGAATGCGAGAGGGAAGTAGGGTGAGAAGGTCTTGCAGTTGCCTACGTCTGTCAAGCAAACGTCAAATTTCTGGACAAAGTTAACTGGGCAATATCACAGAGAAATACCACACACACAAAAAACTAGGTGATTTTCAAAAGCGCAAACTGGACTCGTGTTTCCTTGCATTACGTCTGCAGTACTGAATGAAAGGAAGTGCGTCAGTGCATCTGGAAGAATGTTTAGTGACGCTGATATCCGATTCCCGTCCATTTTTCTCGATTCGCCTTTTCCATTTTTTTTTACCATTAAATAAATCTAAAATAAAAACGAAAAGTGTTCACGAAGAGGTGTGTGTGACTGTACGTGTGTGGGATGAGAGGTTTAAGGGCTTTATCAGATAGGCTGTTGCCAGAAATAGAAAGTTCTTAATTTTCCCTTGAAGACTTTTCCAGATTCCAAAAGGAGAGATTTTTTTTATCGTGTTTCACATACTGTAAAACACAGGAAAGGTTATAAAAGAGAGAAAGCCATTCCGCTCATTAAGCCATAAAGGAAAAAGAATGACAAAATTAATTTTAATACAATATTTTAATATAGCACCACCTGCAGTATCACTGCATTGCTTTGTCATCAAGCTGCTGTACAAGCTGTGAATTTGTATACCAAACAGGAAAACCTTAGGCTTGCAGGTTCTGTGTCCTTTGTAGCTGGTGATGATACTAGATATCACAGTTACATGGCTGAAATTATACTCTGCATTTCCTTTATAACATTCTGGTGCTTTTACAGGAGACAGGTGGTGTTCCCCTTCATACACACAGAAAAGACTGTCACACATGTGACTTAAGAATTGTTCTTCCAGAGCACAACCTCAGGCTTCTGGAAATCTGCAGCTGAATTGTGAATGAATGAGGAACACAAGCAATGCTCAGCATTACAGGGACTTATTATCTCTGACTTCAATTGTCTGCTCTGTAGCAGCAAACCAAAGTAAACCCCGTCAAGATGGGCTGCAGCAAATAGTCTGTTAGGTCGTAGAAAGCCACATATGTTACCTTCCTGTAAGCGAGATGCAAATAAATGACAGCGGTCTGAACGTGAATATAAAACTGTTTATTCCAAATGTTACAGCAGCAGGAAACTGGAATCTGCTGCACCTCCATTCTACTGACCCCACCAAGCAAGAGTGTCTCCTGGGCCTGGACACTGCCCCGGGCTTGTGCGAGTTTTGTTTTCCTTTTGTGCTGGCCACCTTGCGGAGTCGATAAGCCCAGTGGTGTTTTTTTTTTATTCCTGATTCTGTATGGATTTGCCGAACAGGTGGTCTTTTTGAAGGGGTCACTAGGTATATTTAGCTTTTGAAACCTGAGAAAACAGCTTCCTGATTGGCCACCCGGGCCACATGATAATCTGGGAGCCTGATGCAGCCCTGCGCTCTCGCCCAGCGATTCTTGGGAGGGAAGAGTTGGGGAGGCTTTGGCTGCTGGGGAACTTTTAACATAGAATCACTGGTAAGTGGACGTCCTCTTTTCCTTTTACTTTCTCCGCACCGCCTGGACCAGAGAGTTTTTCTCTTACAGCTCAGAAAGATGTTCAAGGCAGGTGGTGCTGCACATTCTCGTAGTCCTCATCTGAAGGGCTGCGATAGCATCGGCTCCATTTAACACGCTCTCACCTGGGAGTCTAGTTCCTCACCTGTTGGTATTCTGGAGTGCAGGGCAGGATTTTGTCTTGGGTTTTCTATTCGTTTTGTGTTCGAAAGGTAGCATATGCGTTTAGATGAAGGTTTTGTGAGAAATGTTTGAGGCCAGGACTAAAAAAAGAGGATAGCAGAATGCGGTCCTATATTTAACCTGCAGCCTCACAAGGAATTGCAGCTCAGCTAGCTAAACAAAACCAGCCAATGGGGCTCTGGCATTAGCTTACGTGACAAATAACTTTAGGGCCGTGGACCAGCTGTCGTGAGTCTTCAGCAGGGGGTCTCCCAGCCTGCAGCCCTGGGTGTCAAACCCTTCAGGCTCTGTCTCCGAGAGGCCTGCAAAAGCATTCCACAGTCCATTTTAGACGCATAGGACACCTTTCCCTTCGATATTTCAGTGTTCACCTTCTCATTGTAACGCATTGCTTTCTTAGGTTTGAGAAACTGCAGAAACCGCAACACACACAAAAAAAAGAGGGAATAACAGTGATGTGAATGGAAAGGACGCAGCTTCCTTATTGTAAGGTTATAACTGGAAACTGTTCTTTAAACGGTATGTTCTTCACATTGCACTGTGTCTCTCTGTGGCTTTCAGCTCTTATTTTGTGCATGTAAACACATTGAGTAACAGCGGCATGGCTTATTGGTGGTATCCATTTAAAGGCTTCTCTTTTTGAGTTACTGCTAAAGACCAGAAATGAAAACAGCTCAGAGGGAACAACAACAATTGCGGGGTGTGTTTTAATTAGAGTTGCATCAGCTTCTGTAGTTTGGCTCGGTATAATCATCAGTTTCTGATTTATGAAGAAATTAGATAAGGAGTAGTTTGTGGGTGAATGCAATAATTTACTGTATCTGTGTCCAAGGGCTGATTATAAGAAGATCTTATTTACACTACTGTGTCTGTGTCTAGATCCTTTGATACTGAACAGAAATGGAGGTTGAGGAGGTTGTGGAGTATGAGGAGTATGAGGAGTATGAGGAGGAGTTTGAAGAGGAGATTGTGGAGGAGGTAAGATGAATATCTTCAGTATTCAGTATACCTTATGTACATGTTTACAGTATGTACAGTACTTCTATGCACATGTTATGCACTTACTGTGAATGGAATAGAGGTTTTTCAGATCCATCATATATTAGGTCCAAAGATCTATATCTCGATCTGGGTCATGCCATAAAAACGTTGTCTCTGCTGGCAGATGTTTGACTTTTTCCTCTGCTTGATGAGAGTATTTCTGTTCAGAGCTGACGGGTAACTGCCTGTGAATACTGAGCTCTGATATATTTGCAGTCAGCAGTTCATAAGTGACACCCTAACCATTTAGAGGAATGTTATATCCCATTTCAAATAGGTTTCTCTCCTTCAGCAAGTAGCCAGGCTTTTCCATCAGACAGCAGTAATTTATCTATTATGTAAACATATAGCACTTGCATTTGATTTCTAGAACTGCCAAGCTTGTGATTACTGTTTAACTCCACCACACACATAACCAACACTCTTTTACAGAAAGGAAACATATTTAACAAGTGCAAGGTACATTCAATATACCTATTATATTGTTCATGCATATGCAATAGATTCCCAAAAGCAGAATTAAGCAATTAATATTTGGAAATTCATTGATATAATATATTATATATTCTTTCATGGTGATGAAAATTAATTGTACAAGAAACTCTGCATTGTTACATCTAGATTTCTCTTAAGATACCAAAACAGTGGGATTGCGTTTCTACCAGAATGCTATATTTCCTATTGCAATGTTTTTGATTGCTTTTGATTACACTGGAATTGACACAAATGTTGGATCACCGCTATTTTTTGTTTTTTAATTGGCACTGCAGTGGCAAATACAGCCGTGTGCTGAATACACTGCTCCAAAAGCCATCAGTATCAGAAACTGATATGTATTACCAAAATTAGGACAGTATGATGTCACCACTGCAATGAGTGGTGAACATGTACTGTACTAATTATACTGTCCTTTCAAATTGATGTGTTAAATATGTCATGTAACAAAAAATCAATTGATCTACTATATTCTTTTAAAATATATCCTGAACATCCTTTATAAAGCTGTAACATTACACAGCTTGTCTCTCCTGTCTCTCTCACTGCCTGGCTCTTTTATGACCAGGCAATGAAACTGTTTAGTTCATTACATTAAATGTGTCACATTTCATTATTACAGCACATTAGAGTGATTTGAGTATTTCAATAGGAGAGTGAAAGCAAAGGGTTAACAGTTTAATCTCTTATTTCTGAATGAAATGAGATTAAAGTTAACCATGTATCGCTTGTTGCCTTATTTTACTCTTGCTGTTAAGTATGTCCTAGTGGGTGAAGTAATACATTTAAACTACGTTCACAATACATCTCATTGTGTTGTTGGCATCTTTATGCTGGAATGCCATTCATACACAACAATGCCATTGAGAGCTCCATTTTTGACGTGTAAAAATCTTTTGGATCCCGTCTGAGGACTTCATTCCAATAAAGCATTTTTTGATTACTTACACCTTTCTAAAAATTATGTCTCTAATCATCACAATCACTTCAAAATCATTTCATAATCATTTCAAAACCATGCATCAGAAGAGGCTTCCTTCAGTGAATCTGCATAACTAAGGGGATGTTCAGTACCTTTATCTCACTCTTTTCTTCTTTCTTCAACACACAGGTACCTGTTTCAGGAATGAATCAGAAAGGTTGATTTTATCAGAAAAATAATATGTAGCTCTTTTCGTTTTGCCGTATCCACTTTAAATACAGATCAATTTGTTATATACACCAATAAGTGTACAATTCTTTTCTGTCTCCGACAAAAGACTAATTTCTTGGCTTTATGTAGAGTACACAGTTTATTTTGAATGTTGGAACTGATCGAGTGTGTCATGATATCCTTTAAAAATGGTGTTATCAGTTTTCTCAATCAAAGTTTAAAAACGGAGATATTATAAAAAGTGACTTTTTCAATTCACTAATCCATTTTGCTGACCATTCAGTGAAAATGAACCTTTGACCCTTTTTCCACAATTGGCACATTTTCTAGTGTTGGTATATCTGTTGAAATGGTGATAAATCTGGAAACAGATAATATGTGACATTCAATACAGAAATGCAAGGGAGAAAGGTTGGTGCTGTGCATACTGTACTCCTCTCTTCCAAAGCATTAGCGTCATGGTACTGAAATTTGACTGGGGTTACGTGCCTAAGCCTGTGTCAAGCCAGTCCCACTCAGACCTGGAGAGGGTTACATGTTGGAAGCCTTTCCTTCCACTGAGTATTTTAAGGAGTACAGGAGTCTCAAATTCACCACGGTCCTCCTGAGTTCTGCAGGTTCAGGTGAAAGAAGCCGCTGACATGGGAACAATTGTACAACTACCTAGTGACCTTTTTTTTTTTCCAGCTCTGGGTGCAAATGCATGGCGTCCTCTTCAGACTGTGTGTCTGCAGCTCCCATCAGAGTTTTCTTTAGAGAGGATAAGCGATGTGGGTTCTTCTAGAATGTTCATGAGAGCAGTGGAGACATCCACAGTGCATGCAGAGCCTTTGGGGAGATGAGTCAGGAGCACAGTGCAGAAGACATTCAGTTAAAATAGCTCTTGGCCATAGGGATAATACAGATAAAATAGACACAACCAGCCCAGGACTACAGCAGCCAGCAAACCAGCAGAACCCTTTTCCATTCAACCGTTAAAAAATACACATACTGTACAGCATGTTCCTAAAACATTTTAACCTCTTCCTCCTGTTCTGTTGTAACTACTGAACAATATAATTTAAATCAAGGTCTTGCTAATGTTCTGAAATTCCGATTAAGTTCATGTGGGATGTTCTCACTCCCACCCCAAAAAAAGTCCAGAAATCTTGAAATCTCTAAAAATGCTTTAATTTGAATCTACAACATGGGTACTTCCAAAGTTCATTTTTAAAAGGATTTCTGTTGCTATAGTCTATGACTTATGCTGCAGGTTCTTTTTGTTAATAACCCCAATAACTCCTAATATCGATAGGAGTATGGATCACTTCTATCAATCAAGCACAAAGAATAGGCAAAACATATGTATCCTTTAGAAAAAAGTCTTCAGTCAAAACTATTGTCATCACATTATTCTAGAGGATTGAATGAGATCCTTATGTTACTAGGAACAAATTAAAGACATACATGTATTGCGACCTTTCTTATTGTGTTAACGTATTGCAGAGCTTTATTTTAATTGTACTGATGTTTCCATTAGATTTTAAAAGCATTACATTTTTTTGGGGCTGAGGAGTACGGCATTAAAACCGTTCTTAATAGTTCCATTCGCAAAGGTTTTGTACTTAATTGACGGAGCTTTAAAAAATCCTTAATCCTTGTAACCTAACAATTTTCAAGAACCTCAAAAAAGTTCATGTTCCTTGTTACGACAAGCGCGCATCCTGAAGCACCATAACTTAAAGTTTACATAGGAACATTATCGCACTCTGCACTGCAAATATACCGGATTGTGTTTTGTGGATTAAGCGATTGCAATCATTCCATCATTACATTTTGAAAAGGAACACCAATGCCATTTCAACCAGAGCTGGAAAAAGTCACATTGCCCGGTGTATTTTAATCTGAGTTTGATTCCGATTTTGAACCTCTGGAGTATGTCCTGTGTTTATAGTACTGCGTGGAGCGTACAGAAGAGATCACACAGCAAACTCAGGTTGGAGAGGTAATTCAGCTCGTTCGCGAGGACAGCGAAGACGCAGACACGCGGCTTGTGCTTGCAGAATGCGCTTGCATGCGAAAGAGGGTTGTTTCATTGCCTCGCCTGTTTGTGTGGACTTGCCTTTCAGGAAGAAGTAACAGCTTTGAACACTGGCGGTGCGGATGCCGGCGCGCAAAATGATGGCAAACTACTGTAGCTCTTCCATTTGTCAAATCTTTTTTGAAAGCAAAAGCAATGGGAGAAAATGAAACACCCTCAGTGTTCCACGTGTGCAGCCGTTTCATTGATATAATTGCTGTTGGTCCTTGAAAAGGTCTGCACGCCCCTGCTTTTATAAATAACTTTTTTTTTTAAGCGTGCAGCCTTGCTTACGGGTCGTGCAACAGCAGCGCATGAGAGCTCATCACGCGCTCGGCAGCCTCTGGAGGCGCTCGTGCTCGCACCCGTGTCTTGACCTACCGGGGCAGCTCGTGTCGCGCTGTCGTGTTCTGTGACTCTGAAGCTGTGGGTTTGTTCAAATAAAGATCTGGCCTGTTAGCGTTTTCCTCATCTTTGCATTGTATCAGAACTTAATTTCATTTTAATCTGCTTGATTCGCCAGGTTCATGTGTAAGGAAAAAATAATAATTCAAATAATATTTTTTATACCCATCATTGTTTGCATTTTCTGTACTGTTATGATTTGCCTTGTTGTACCGTATGAGCTTGTAAGTGAGTGTTTGTTACGATATACAGTACTGTATGCCCGTCCAACTTTACTGCTATTCTGTTGTTAGATTAGCTGTAATTACAGCTAGATAAGCTGATAATTAGTAAGAATATAACGCAAATCTTAATTAGCTCTTGACATTTCACAGCTCCGTGATGGGATTGGGGTGTTTATGGGGGTGAGGAGGTGCGGGACCATCTAAAGACACCGTTTCCCACTTACTGTACCTCCCGCTGTTCTGCAACAAGATACGAGACTGATTTAGCGGAGCGCGTTTCCTTCACACTGTCATTTGTAGAGTTTGCTTGAACTTGATGAAGCAGAAATACAGATTCAGACGTGGTTCACCGCAAAGCCTTGATGAGAAATAGGATCATTTTTAACCAAATGTTAAGTGGGAATGAAGCAATGTATTAATAAACGTCTATACACTACAAAATCAGTTAAAGAGCATGACTACAGTTAAACCCGCGTGCAGTTTTTGTATTTTTCACTGCAGTTTGCTTGCTCACGTCCCAGTGCTGTCCAGCTTGGACCCTGGGCAGAGACATTTCGGAGACGCCCACACCTCTCTTTGTGGTCCGCAGGTGGGGGGCTTGCCCGTTCGGAAAGTGAAGAAGAAGAGGAAAGTTGACACCTCCAAATTCATGACTCCCTACCTGGCCCACAGCCAGAAGATGCAGGAGCTCTTCAGTCAGGTGTGTGAAAGGCCCTGGAGTAATCGTGGTTGCACCTCTAGCAAGCTCCAGCCTAACAGACTGCTGTTTCCCCTAGAACAAGTACAGAGAGATCTATGAGAAGGAGAAAGGCAAACCCTACGCAATCACAATGAACACCCCTGAACTCCGCAGGATCAAGAAGGCTCAGCAACAGCTCAGTGAGGTACAGCGATGTCTTTCACCTGGACGTTAACGCTCTTTGGGACAACAGCTCGTTTCTTTCCGAGCTAATTAAATACAGGAACAAAGTGCTGCTTCAATCGCCTTTTCCTGGATAAATTAAAATATGCCCACAAATTTTGAACATGCTTAAAAAACACCTGATTCATTAACGCAAAATACCAGAACATGTCCTGTTAAGGCTGCAGGCTAGTTTATGATACTGCACCATATAAACTACAGTAGCATACATAAGCATCATGTTTTGTTTCCACTTGTTAGTACAGTTCTTTTCAAACCCATATACAATAATATAGGGTCTTATGTTAAATTATACACTTATATTTGTCTTATATACATGTTAAATTACACCGTACATTAAGTGCATTTAAGGTATTGGTTGTAAGACAGCACTGCAGAATAAACTTGTTTAGAACAGGGTGATTTGGATACTACTGTCTTCTGGCATTGAATGAACAGTACGTGAGCTCTTGGTTAATTAACTGAAGTAAAAATAATTTTATATGCTGTCAGTTTTGAAACAGTGTGAGATATCAATTTCCAGAAAATAGTTGCAACAGGTTGGTGAATTGTTAGGAGATTAAACATCATTTGCTTCAGTACTATACTGTATATAAAAACACATTTAAAATGACAATCAGCAAAACACTCCAGACCAATGCTGGGAAATTGCTCCCAGGGCTGTTGTGTCCCTCTCTGCTTCCTACATAAGTTGCTTTGCCTGGGTTTTCCACTCAAATCCTTTCAGCCCACTGTAAGGTATTGAACTCCAGCTGAGAGTTTCTTGTTTTTGACCTTTTTTTTTGTCAGGTGAAGTACCGCATGGAAGGACAGAAAGCACAGACAATGTGTAACTATGATGGAAAAGCCAGAGAGATTGAGCACGTGAAAAACGTCTCACAGCTTCTGAGCAAAGTAAGTGCCGAGTTCCTCAAGCTGTAGCACGTTCCACGAATTAAATCTTGCACCCCTAAATTTCAAACCACCATTAGACGGATATACTGTACAGAATAATAGTGTGTTACATTTTTCTGAGACTCATTATACTCCCTTCTTGCTTCGAATTCCATTATAAACAGGTACAATCCTGTATCTCCCATGATCCATTTTTGCAGTCAACATGGCGGTGTGTTTTTTTACAGGTTCTCTACAGGCAGAAATGGGATGAAATCAAAGACAGATATTTGCTTCCTCCTGATGCCCCTGAGCTCGTACAAGCCGTGAAGAATGCCGCAAACCTCAGCAAGGTAATCATTTTGATATTCCGGAACAGAAGATCTGAAACAAGTGGTTACAGCTGAAATATTTAAAACCAGTAGAATAAAAAAGGAAACCTACATCTGATGTTTTGTTGAATAAATAATTCCCATGTGGACCTCTGAGATTTTGTGAGATATTTTTTGCATGGGCAAATGATTAATTCCTATACGAAGGACATCTAGCAGGTTAATGTCAATATCAGTATTATACAGTGAAAGGATAATACTTAACTCTGACTCTGCAGAAAATGGCCACCTGTTTCTAACTCTGGTTTCTCTCTGACTGTCAGAAACTGTACACAGAAGCCTGGGATGAGGACAAAGTCATGTTTTACCCATACAGCGACAGTCCTGAGCTCCAGCGCGTGGCAAAAGCTCAGAAAGCTCTCAGTGATGTGAGCAGGTTTTCATTTGCTTTTGGTTTCCAGTAAGGGTATTACAATAAATAGGATAGCAAGTGCTTCCATGGTAGATAGCTACAGGTTTAACTGATCATAAAGCCAAGCTAGACCAACACGTAGGCTCTGGGTCACTGTCCTGGATCCAAGACCTCACTGCCTAAGGCACTTTCCTGTTGGCTTCAAATTCTTTGCCTCCTTAAGAGCCCAAGGAGAAAAAACTATGTACTGTACATAAGAAAGGCATCAAATGGGACTAGGCCATTCTGTTTGTCTAGGATTTTAGCAGCTAATTGATTGGATGATCGGTAGATCTCATCCAGCCTTTTCTTCCCTTTCACCTGTAATGCCTTGAATACTCACGACTGCAGCTGGCACTGTCCTGCGTAGAGTGTTGCCGTGGCACAGTAGGTTCAGTAGGTCATTTCTGAAGAAAACGGGCCCAACATGTAACAGCACCGCTGAGCAATTCACAGTGTTACCCTGAAAGTAGAAATGGCCCCAGAACAGCTGTTGCTGAAGAGTGTTTCCATGTCACGGCTTCTGATTCCAACTCGGGGTCGGCTTGTGACCTCTCTCTTCACCTCTCACAATGAGGCTGAGCAACAGCACTAGCACTTGCCTGTCAGAGGCAGAGGACAGAGCCCCATGTGGGTGGGACATCTGGTACCCATTGGGTGCACACCCTGAGACACTGTGACACTCACGGATCATGCTCTTTGTGGTACACAGAGACACGTTGAGCTTGTTTGGACTGACAGCACGTTTGAAATGTGTTTTCCTAATTCAGACTCCAGTTATGGCAAACGTTCTTACCTGTGCAAGACAGGTAACGAGCACCTAGTTGTTCCCTGCTCGTCTTCAACGACTGCCTTGCCACAAATGAAGGCTTAGCCCTACACCCACATCCCTGTCTGTGGCAGTCTGTTGTGTCCATGTTCAGGAGTCAGCAATACATTTCATGTGGGTGTCATTCTGCTGTGTGCAGAAATTGACTCATGTTGTGCATTGCTGTGCAACCATGTCGGCACAAGGCCACTCATCTTTAAACGGATGCTTACTGTTGCCATGGAGAGCTGTTGTAAAAGGTGAAGCAGGAGAATGTGGTACAGGATTTGCCTGTTTAAACTGAACAGAACAACCTTAATTATTGAAATACCCTTGTGGTTTACCATCAGTTGCATTTGATGACTCTTTGTTATCTTGTGAAATGACTTACCCTTCTGCTTTACTCTTTAAAATATTGTATTTGCTCTACCAGTTTCTACTGATCACCTTGTACGTATAATACTTGAATATCACTAGTTATATAGTTTATACCGCATATACTAGTATGTTTAGATTTGATACTGATACCATTATCAATCAAGTCAATTGTCATTGATTAGGTGGTTAAGCACAACTGCACCCAGTGTATAAAAAACATAGATTGTTTCTCTAAAATAAATTAGTGTTTTATCACAAATGTGTGTAGTAGTAAAATCAAATGCCATAATCACAAAAGACAGATTGCTAGATCAGAAAAGGACATTTTGGTCCTTTTTCCATCAGGGCTTGTGGTTTCTGGGCGATAGTCAAGTCCTGAAACAAAAGCCAGTCACTGTGCATGGTCTGTTGAAGTCTATAGGTGTTTCAACTCATTTCCTTTTATCTTTCTTCAGATCCAGTACAAGAAGGGCCATGATGAACGCAAGGCAAAGTACACCTCTTTGGCCAACCCTCCTGATGTGGAACTTGCCAAAAGAGTGTTCACCCAGCGCAGTGACGTGAGTGTCTGCTCACCAGAGAGGAAATATCTGACGAGTGAAATAGATTCAGTACCCAAAGCTGACAACTGTGAAACTATCCTATTTTTACACACTGAAGTTTCTTCTTTTGATGACAATTTTACAACAATTGCTAGATTAGACTAATTTTCCCCTAAAGAAATGACAACAAAATAGTAAATAAACATTTACTGCCCTATGCCAATACAGCTTATGATCATCAGCATTAAGGCAGATATTGCACATTACGTGTTTTTGAAAATACATGCCTGTTCTTGGCCGACATACAAGGATTAGTAACTCTTTTGTAGCTGTAATATACACACATCTGCAATGCAATGTGCTGCAGAGTGTGATGTCTCAGTGTTGCCTTCAGGGGGTCACTGCAGGACTTTTACTCAGGACCTCTTAGGGAAACAGCAGTCTGGCTTGCAGGGTTTGCTGTCACTCACAAGGCGACATGCTCCTGGATCTTACCCCTGCCAGCCAGGGGATTGTGTTCCTTGATGACAGGCTAGGAATAATAATCACGTACTGCCGAGGTTAGATATAATTGGAATGTTATAATACTTTCCTACCAGCTGTACAGCACAGCGTGGATGGTATCAGCCATATTCTAGATTCCATTTAAAACAGAACGGTTATGTGCACTGATGTCAGTGGTCCTAAATGATGAGGGTTTGTATCATTATATTGTGCCTGTAACACGACATAAACAAATGCTCTTGACCAATCCCAACATACAATGAATATTGTGTTTTATTAGGATTAGAGGCAGCTGTAGTATGCTTTCTTTAAAGGTTTAAATATTTTACACAAGACAAAAACTGTTTCTTCCCTTCTTTCAGCTCAAATACCATGAGGACTACAACAAAAATATTAAGGGCAAGTGGTGTGAAACTCCTTATTTTGACATTGCTGTGGCAAGAATGGTTTCAGACAACCTCAGCACAGTAAGTAGTAAGAGCGCAAGGATTTCAGGAAGTGTTCACAACTCAGCTCACAGGAATACTATATAAGCTGTAATCCAGTTGCTACCACTATGCTGAAAACATCAGAATTTAAACCAGGCTGTCAAAACTGTCCCAAACCATTTTAATATATCAGATCATTTCATTTTTATACAGTATTTTAGCAGATTAATTTTGGACTATACTGTATGTTACAGTATAGAATACTGTCCTTATTTTTCTAGAAAAACTAATACTGGAATATTTACACCCTCCTTTAAACTGCAGTTAAAATGTAATTGTATCGAAGTGCTATAGTCTGCTACTGTATTTCATAAGGAAAAAAGTTTTCCTGTTTCTTGAATGGTTATTTTCTCATCATCATCATCATCATTCTAATTTCAGAAAAAATACCAAGCTGATTATGAAGAAATGAAAGACCAAATTTACTTTATGCAAACAGACACCCCGGAATACACTATGAACAAGAAGGCAGGGATTGCTGCCAGCAAAGTAGGTATCCACAACCTGGTCTCAAGGAACTTTGGGTAGATACTGGATCGATTTAACGCTGTAGAGTTAAAATAGTCTTGAGTGGAATATTGACCTAATGTACACTGAGGCTGAAAGGCAGTTAGGATGAGTAGGATTGTTTTTTTAGAGTTTATAACGTATTGCTCACGCTACAAAGCAGCAGCTGTGTTGACCTTCAGATTCAGTGAAATCGTGAGTCAACACTGTGACTCTTTTATCAGACTGGGAATAAAATGTTTAGCCAAGTGATGCAGCTTTATTCTGGTGCTCAGCTGTGTCTGATTGAAGTGACTTTCATCAGTGCAGTGACTTTGGGTCTAGCAAGTGCACAGCTGCAATTAATGCTGTGTACTATAAATAACTGCAAAATAAGGGACTGCAGTGCAGCTGTCAGCTTGAAAGTCGATGTGCTTTTTATAGAAAGGGAATATACACACTGCACTGTTGTGTTCACACTTGGAGCATCACTTTCATCCTCAAATGTAGAATATTCAAAATTACTGCAAATTTAAACTGGGTTTGTAAATGTTGATTAATGGACAGGGCACTAGGCTGGAAATCTCTTTTGGCGAGACTCCCCCAGAAGAGCTGTGGGTTTAGTTTTATAATACAACGTATTATCTGAGTGCATTCTGTAGTGGTTGAGTTTTTAAAACCAATGTCTGCCCACTTACACCATGCACGGAGAGCGAACTGTGTTGCCAGCTCTCCTGTAACTTTCTTGCTCTTGGTTTTCTTAGGTGAAATACAAGGAAGATTTTGAAAAGACCAAAAATGTTGCAGATTACAATGTCCTTCCAGCCACAGAGAACCCTCTGCTGAGGCAGCTGAGATACGCTGGGACGATTCTGAGTGACGTACGTTTCTGATGAGAGTTTTAAATTAAACCTGCCAAATACTGGGCCAAACATGCAAGAGAGCATTTTTAACCATTTTCTTTAAAGTTAAGAAATTATGTCCAGCTAAAGAAAATATATTAGTCCCACAAAGAAAAATATTAATGTTATATCATGTTCAATGATTGTTTTGAAAACAGAAACATTGGCAGTGGTAGTAATAATAATAATAATAATAATAATAATAATAATAATAATAATCATTTGTATGTGTGAACATTGATGTATTTAACATGTTTTAACAAGGCCCAATTGTGTTTAGCAAGGTTTGCAAATTAAATGCAGAAAAGGGACAAAGCAATCGGAAATAAAAATAGTTGTCAGTTAAGTCTAATATTGCATTTTAACGTACTATATTGTATAGAAAGGAGGCACAGTGGTTAGCATTGTTGCCTCACAGAGCTGGGGTGCTGTCTGTTCTTGTATATTCAATATACTGTCTTATATTGACTATTCTGTATGTTCAGTGTAAAGTATATGCTAAAGGTCATAATGTATTTATCCACTGGAATCCCTATATTTTTTTTAATTACCGGTGGTGCTGTTTTCCATTGATTAATGGTTTTGCCCTTCTGTGCTCTTTCTTACAGAAAATTTATAAGGACAGTTATGAAAAGACAAAGGGAAAGAGCATTAATTACTGTGATACGCCTAAATTCCAGCTTGACAATGTGCTGAAGAAGTTCTCCGATGTAAGTGTGGTTCAACGCTTTCTTTGTCAGCGTTTTTGTCAATCCAGATAAACCAGATCACTCATTAACTTGACCTTTTTGTATTTCTGTTGCATTAGGTTCGATATAAAAAAGTGTATGAGCAGAAAATCAAGGGACATTATATTGGTAGCTATGAAGATCCACATATGCGTCATTGTCAGAAAATGGAAGAGTTGAAGAGTGATGTAAGTACCTCAATATATTCATTTGAAATATGCACGTATATTTAGAAACTGTATAGGCCTGCTGTATATTTAGCTATGAAATAAGGTCTTACTGTGAATGTATGATAACTGAAACTACTTCTTTTAATGTTTGATAAAACACTTTATCAGTAGCAATTATTGCATATTGCAGTTTCTGTTTTAAACTTGGTCTTGTTATTTAAATGTCACGAGAGCGTCTAAAGTGTTTTTCGTCTCTACTAACGATTCACCTTTATTTTCTAGAAAAACTACAAAGCTGACTATGAATTCGACAAGACAAAATGCTACTTTCCCCAGACTATTACCCCTGAATACGACGCTATCAAGAAATTGCAAGACTGTACTGAAGTGAGTACTCACGTAGCACGACTATCAATTGTGATATTGCCATTTTTACAAGTTAGTAAATATCTGTGTTGAGGGACATCTAGTGGTTGCTATTAAAAACTGCCATTGTCTTGAATTACACTTACCTGAAATTTCCTTAACTATTGTACTGCATTTTCCGCTCTTTAAAAACGAAAGAATTGTTTTTGTGCCCACACAAGTATTGTTTAATAACGTGGTTATTTTTAACGGGGTTAAAGATATGTTTTTCCCCTCCGCATACTTATTAATAAAATAAAATTGTATTTCTTTTCTTTTCAGAAAGTGTACAGGCAGCACCCAGACACGGTTAAATTCACTCAGGTGACAGATTCTCCGGTGCAGGTGCAGGCAGCCATCAATGCACAACAGCTCAGTGATGTAAGTAACCAGAAAACTCCTCAACTCTCGTTCACCTCGGTTCAATAACACATCGGTAACAGGGACGCATCGTTGCCCGAGCTTTGCTGAAATTCTGCCACTTCTCTGGATGTGAAAGACAGATGCAGCGCTGCGTGTTAAATTTAGGAACCTGGTGGGTTTGCTAAAAATAACTTCGCTGATGGGACTCGGTGAAATGCAGCTGAACGTTAAAACATAATCAACAGTGCCATCTACCGCTAGGAAGTGGAAAAGTTTATCCATATAATTGAGGACGTAGCTTTTGATTAAGGTTGAATTATCTGAGCCTCACATGCATCTGATCCAATATGGTTTGTTGTTTGGTTGATCACGACTGGTTGTCCTTTCTACTGAACTGGTTGGCGTGTCGAGCTACTATTCCCAACGAAATGTGAAGTCTTGGAAAGACGTATTAGACACATAAACAGGGAATGCAGAACGGTGGCAAATGTTTTACTCTTCTGCCAACAGCTGAGTAAGCCCCCCATGTACTTCCTTGTGCTCTAGACATCTTAGTCGTTCCAGAAAACTAGATATGGAAGTGAATAAAGACAAAAATCTTTAAAAAAAAGGTGAGGACAACAACAGCAGAGACTAAAGAATATACAGTACTGTATGCTGTATTCTTGCAGTTCACAACCCCATGTCTGCTGAGTTTCAATGCCTGGGACTTTAATCCCCAGTGCTAACTGTGGCCTACAATCAATCTGATTGCTCGTTTAGTAGTTTCTATGCACTTAACATGTGAGGGGAAAAAAATGTGATTAATGCTGGTTCTTTAAACGATCAACACAGTAATGTTTTACAGCAGAGGTTCAGTTGATGGATGCACAGACTCTACCTTTTTCATGCCACTTAAGACCACTTAATGTTAAGCAGCTCAGCACGTCTAGGTCTGCTGCTGATCAGAAATGGTAAAACTTCCCCCAAAGTGACTAAAAAACATCCATATGTTTTTTTCAGCTTAATTACAAGGAGAAGTATGAAAAAGAAAAGTTCAAATGCTGCCTGCCTCCAGACTATCCCTTCTTCATTCAATCCAGAGTCAACGCCTATAACCTCAGTGATGTGAGTATTGTGTTTCCAACATCATAAATAAAATTAAAAAACTGTATAGTGGTGATGTATAAGGTAACGTTTGTTGTAATAACTGAATTTGTATTGTCCTTTATGTACATACAGGAATATGCTTTTAAAGGGATATGCTGTTGTTCATTCATTCATAATTACAGGATATGTGAACACAGACTCTCTGATTTTAACGCCTGATTCCCTCTCTCTGTGCTTCTCTCTCTGTCCCTCTCTCCTGCTGTAATCCATGTGTGATCGTGGTGGAATTCCAGAACTGTTACAAGTACGAGTGGGAGAAAACCAAAGCCAAGAAGTTTGACATCAAGGTCGACGCGATTCCTCTTGTTGCTGCGCGTGCTCACACGAACATCGCCAGCGACGTAAGTAGGCGAACTTCGTGGAGGACTCTTCACATACCTCCTGGAAACTGAGCGTTTCCACACTTGCATTAAATGTAGTACAAAGATAATCGTTTTCTAATGCCTGCGATGTCTTAAATATGATATAATTATCTCAAAGATATCTGTTAAATGTATATTATTGACTTACTAGGAAAAGAGAAAATGCTGTTTGGACTATTGGCATGTGACATTCTCTGTCAACCAAGTGAGTACTATTTCCTGATTTAGCAATGGAGTGGCATACCAAACGCCATGTGTTCCGATTTCAGGTGAAATATAAGAAAGAGTATGAAAAAGCCAGAGGGAAGATGATTGGGGCCCTCAGCATTCAAGATGATCCCAAGATCCTTCACTCCGTTCACGTGGCCAAAATCCAGAGCGAAGTAAGTGACATCTGCCTGCAGTTAGAAATCCTGCAGATGCCTGCAGACCCCTCTCTCTATTAACCTGGTAGTCAAATTCAGAAAAAAGAACAAAAGGTTTTTAATAGGAAGGAATTGTTCTGATACTTCAGACAGGTGTTGCAAGAAGTCCAGCCTGTTGATAGCCCCCTGTCTAGGCAGATGCCCAGAAGCCCTGAAAATAAAACTCTCCGCAACTGAAGAGGCTCAACAGCCAAAATGTTTTTTTCCTTCAGCGGAAACTAACCTTCGATTGCTCGTGTGCTGATGCAACTCCCTGCTCAAACCTCTAAAAGTCCCCCGGACAAAAGGACATGATAGACCTGCCCTTTAATTCTTGGAAGCTTTTTTTTGTCTCCCCTTCAATCTTCAACATTTTGTTTTAAAAAGTAGTGCAGATTTTAATAGCCTTTTCCACCTGATCCTTTTGTGTCTTGCAGCGAGAATACAGGAAAGACTATGAAAAGATGAAGACCAAATACCACGCTCCTCTGGATATGGTGCTGGTAACTCTGGCTAAGAAGGCCCAGAGCATTGCCAGCAATATAGATTATAAAACACTGCAGAACCGATACTTCTATCCCCCTGACAGCATTGCCCTGGAACTGGCTAAGAAATCCTATTCTCAGCAGAGTGATGTGAGTATCAGGATCCTGCTGCGAACAGAGTGAAAGGCATCAAAACAGTTTTTATGGAGCCCATTTGAGTTGGTCTATCATGAAGGACCAAGTAGGACAAACCACATGCTCTCTCCATTAACAGTACTCCATGGTTTCCATTCCTGTGGCATGAAAATGTATTACCACATGAAACAGGTTCTTTCTGGTGGAGTTATTTTTATTTTATTACTTTATAGACCTCTGAGTTAAAACCCCTTTCAGAAACTACAGTCCATCTCTACCTACTGTAGAGTACAAAGCTATAATTTGCATTTAAAAAATGTAACGAAGAAATGTGAACTGGCATGATTTTCTGTAAGGTAAAGGTATAGATTCGTAGCTTTAAGGATAGGTTTAATGTGTGTTGTATTAAAAAATATTGAGACTCTTTCTGCAATTCTCTTTCTTGCCGTTAGAATGAATACAAGTCTGAGTACAATAACTGGCACAAGGGCACAGGATGGGTTCCTTATGGCTCACTGGAAGTGGAAAAAGTCAAGAAAGCTGGCCAGATCCTGGATGAGGTACCTTCTTATATTTTATTTCACATAAAATTAATATAACTGATGTTATAAATCAGTTGTGAAAAACGTGACTGATAAAACAGAGTATTTCAGTGAGATACATGTATTCAAATAGGAGTTAAACCTCTCCAATTTGAAGTGATTGCTGTAGTACAACTGCAGTACATAGAGCAATGAGGTCTCTCTATGTAATGATTCATATCCATGTAGAATTGCGGTTTCTTGTAGTGTAGTAAGCCCTAGTGTGATTATTTTAAAATCCGTTTTTATTTTAATGACCTCATCACAAGATAAACCTTCCTCTACAGAATTCTTCACCAACTTTCAGATTATTTTCTGCACCACGGCATCACTGCATCTGCTGATTTGTTCTACATTTCTTCTTCACTCTTTCTAACCAGAAACGGTACCGTCAGAAACCAGACACGGTTCCCTTCACCCAGATTGAGGATGACCCTGTCATGGTTCAAGCCAAGATAAGCCAGCAACAGAGAAGTGATGTAAGTCCAGCCTTGGCTTCCCAGAGGTGTGCACTACAGTAGCTGTTGGAAGAGAGGGTGGCTATTGAGTTTTTATTAAACTTTTTTTCATTTTCCTACAAGCTGAACTACAAGAAAGAAGGAGAGAAGGTGATTCACAAGTACTCACTGCCTTCAGACATCCCAGAGTTCCTCCAAGCCAGATGCAATGCTTACAACATCAGCAAGGTAAGCCCAGGAGGGACGTGGCAGCCAAACTTTGGAACAAGCTGGAGTTTACAGCTGGAAAGAAATCCAGAAATCAATCTGGACAACCTGTTTGTTGACTGAAAGGTGTGAAAGTCTTATCACCAGTATATACTGTACAGTACAGTATATGACGAGTCAGTCACAGCATCATGAGTCACATTTAAAAAGGTTGCTTATTTTTCCCCTTCAGAACTACTACAAATACGCCTGGGAGGAGACTCTTCGGAAGGGATACGACCTTAGGGTTGACGCTATTCCTATCATTGCTGCCAAGGCGGCTCGCAAGGCTGTCAGTGATGTAAGTATTTCACGTCAGTTCGTAAGGCGTCAGTTCTATTTATATATTATTACATGCATTTACATATTATTACCTCTCAGCAGAAAGGAAGCATCACACTAGGCAGGAGCAGACTGTGATGTTATGACCTCTTGTAGACAACAATGTTATTCCTTGTTATTCCTGGATGTGATGATATTCCTTTTGGTAGCAATAATGTATTGCAGTCATTTTGTAAAACAATATGGTCACCCGTAGAAAAATATTTAAGATTCAGTCCTTTCGTTTGTACAATTTGTTTTTCAGTAATGCTCAATTATGGGTGTCCATTATACAGGATGTTTTAGTTTCACATGTCCAATACATTCCTTATGAAGTATATATTAAGTTTCTAGAAGTCGGTGTTAGTCAGCATGCGAGCTCTAAAGGAATAAGAAGAGGTTAATTCCACACCGAAAAGTAGAAACAGAAAAATAAACAACATCACAACAATGGAGCTTTCTCCAGGAGTGAGAAAGTGCCACATCTGTTGTTTTTTCTTTTTTTCTTACTTTTATTTAAATATTTAACCTCTAAGTATTTAACCTACTTAAGTACAGTATTTTAAGTATTTAACCTCTAAACAGTATATTAAGTACAGTACTGACAAAATCATAATGTTGTTTTTGCTGTGGTTGACATGTTAAGCGCTAGCACATCATTCATAAAGAAGTGGTATATGCTTTGTAAGCGATGTCTAACAGACTTACCCACGTTTTATGGTGACATTTTGTTTAGTCTATATTTTGTATGTATTTTTATGCCCTTGCAGATAAATTACAAATGTATGCTTTCCAATGCAATAGAACTTTCCAATGCCTTCTCCACCTTCTCTGCCGCACAGAGCAGGTCCCCTTATTGCTATATTTTAATTGTGTACTCAATAATGAATACTCCTTTATTCTATATGTGTAAGAAAAGTATCTAAATGCATGACATAGGGATCTGTGTTTTGAACATTGCTCCTTCTTCTTCCCACAGTATCAGTACAAGAAAGAATATGAAAAGCAGAGAGGTCACCACGTCGGGTTCCGCAGTCTGCAGGATGACCCCAAGCTGGTCCACTGCATGCACGTAGCCAAGATGCAGAGTGAGAAAGAGTACAAGAAGGACTATGAGAAGTCCAAGCTGAAGTACCACACTCCTGTGGACATGTTCAGTGTGATGGCTGCGAAGAAAGCCCAGGAGGTGACCACCAACACTGGCTACAAGCAGCTGATCCCCCGCTACACCCTCCTCCCTGACGCCATGAACCTGGCACTGGCCCGCAACATGATGAACATCCAGAGTGACGTGAGTCAGCTTCTAGGCTGAAATCAAATACACATCATCGTTATAAAAGTAAAATATTGAGATGAAAAATGATGAATGATACTTAGCTGTGGAGTGAGTGGCTTACCCAGAGTTTTGTTTGCTCTTAAAAGAATGTGTAAACCTTAAATGCAGGGACAAAGGGGCTATTGTTCTGGTAGCAATAGTTTTGAATGATCTTTAGAATGTACAGAAGGAGCAATATTTAGAACTTAGTCTGATTAAACCTTTATTTGCACGCTTCTTATGAAAACAAATATTTACTCGTTTACATCTCATTCTTAGAATCAGTACAAAGCTGATTACGACAGCTGGATGAAAGGAACGGGTTGGGTCCCCATTGGCTCTCTGGATGTGGAGAAGGTGAAGAAAGCCGGCGAGGCTCTGAGAGAGAAGGGCTACAGGCAGCACCCCGACACCATCAAATTCACCAGTGTGTCTGACACCCCTGTCATGGTGCAGGCCAAGATCAGCGCCCTCCAGCTCAGTGATGTGAGTTACCATGGGTTTTTTTAGGATTTACCTGATTAATGAAATTGAAAATCCAATTCTTACTCTTGCATAGACATCTTTAATTTTCATAGGTCTCTGTCCTTTTCTGAAAAAAATAAAAGAAAATAAGGACGTTTCCCTCTGTCAGGTTCATTGTACGGCACACAAACTGATGGCGTGGGCTTTTTCTTGCAGAGAGAATACAAAGCCAGTGGAGAGAAATTCAAGCACACCTATCATCTCCCTCCAGATGTCCCAGAGTTCATCCAGGCCAAGTGTAATGCTTTTAATATTAGCAAGGTGAGGACAAAGATACATTTTGTTTGTATTTTGTCCTGTAACACATCTTATGCATTTTACAGTTAGTCGGTTAACGCTGATGCAAAGCTGGCTACAGCAGGGCATAGTATAGATCTTGCAGTTGAGCAGGCCTATGCCTGTGAAGACCCATTACTTCCAGGGGTCAGTCTGCATGGTTTTTCTATACAGTAATGTTCAAGTTGGGACTATTGACACAATGTGAACCAGGTTCATTTGTAAATTCAGTAAAACACCACCATTTTAATTGGGTTTTATTCTCAACTCTATGGGGTTGATCTCCTCAGACACTTAAACTTCTAGTTGTAGAATTGTAGATCTTGATTTGTAGAACCACAGAAAATAAATATCTTAGAATAAATGTTTAGCTTTCTTAAATTAAAAAACACAGATACCTTTCTACCATGTATTTACAGGCATTCTCATTTTTAATTTATTTTCTGGCAGTACATCTTCCTTTATTGGGTACTTACCATTTCTGAGCTTAGATATTACAATATATTGGATAAGGGCATATGTTAATAATATATCATATTATTTTTTTCAGAATTATTACAAGTTGAACTGGACCCAAACTCTGCTTAAAGGACACCACCTGAAAGAAGATGCAATTCCTATTATTGCTGCTAAGGCATCCAGGAACATTGCTAGTGATGTAAGTGTGATGAATTTTATATATAATGGGATATGTCGAGGTTTTAAATGTGAACCGCTTGTTTTCTGGAATTCAAATAATTGTGAACAATTTTGTTTTGCTCTGTGCAATACTTTTATGATTATAGTATATCATTATTAGATTTTTTTAAACCAGACACATCATCCAATCATTTGGATCTGCAAACTCTGATCAAAATATTTAACATTATTTTTAAATGTAATGCAAAAGCCCTTTTTCTTTTAAGTGTACTTATAAAGTGGACTGAGTTTTATTTTAAGACATATAGGTCCCAATGTTTACAAGGAAAAAAATGATTTTCATATAATATAATAAAGTATTCATTTTTATATATATTTATACAATGAATGATTTTACATTCACAATAGTAAACATATTGTTTTTTGCATACAGTGAGACAAGTTATGTGTGCTCATTAAAATCACAATTCCTTGTATTCGCAGTACAAGTACAAACTGATATCAAAGAAGCATTTAAGGTATAGACAGTAAAACAGTAGAGAGGAAACCTCTGTGGG